CATGGCCTATTTTATCAAAAAAAAATTCACATGGAAGCTCTAGGACTAATAGTTCCTGAGATATAGCCGGTGACCTTTCTTATCTGGACACCCGGTACATCTTTAATTTTCTTTGGCGTCGAGAACCCTTTTATGCAAATAATTTTTTCTTCATCTGGTAATATTATGCCTTGCTCCTTTACTTTGAATCCTAGTATTTTGATTTCTTTTCTCAAATATTCGCATTTGCTTGGTTTTAGAGTAAGGTTAGCTTGTCGCAATCGCTCAAAAACTTTTAGTTTGCTCAAGTGTTCTTCGAATGTTTGTGAGAATATAATGATGTCGTCTAGGTAGATTAGCACTTCCTTCCATTTTATATCCCAAAAAACTTGGTCTGCTAGTTCTTGGAAAGTGGCTGGAACGTTGCATAATCCAAAACTTAAAACATTAAATTCGTAAGTTCCATGTCCTTGCGCCACGAAGGCAGTGTATTGCTTGGACTTCTCTTCGACTGGAACTTGCCAATATCCGGAACACATATCGAGTGTGCTGAACCATTTTGCATTGCCCAAGTATGACAAAATGTCATCGATCTGCTGTAGTGGATATGTTGATTTTTTTGTCACTGTGTTAACCTTTCTGTAATCTACGCAAAATCTTGTGTTTCTATCTTTTTTCTTAACTAGCACCACCGGGCTAGCCCATGGAGAGTGGCAAGGCCGAATTACTTCGCTATCGAGCATTTCCTGGATTTGTTCGTCAATAATCTGTCTTTCTTTTTGTGACACTCTGTATGGGTGGCTTTTTATTGGGCGAGCCTCTCTGACGTCTATTATGTGTTCTGTTAAGTTTGTCCTTCCCATATGATTTGTAGATTTCGCGAAAACGTCGTTGTATTCCAGAAGGAGTTCTTTGAGTTCATGTCTGTTCTTCTCGTTTGTGATGCTGTCTAACTTATGATCTTCCATTGTTATTTCTTCGCTCTCTTCATCTTTTTCTGCTTGCAACATGAAATTGTGTGAAAGATTTGTCTCTGATGCTGTTTCTGCCAAAAATGCCATTGTAGTTCCGGCGTATATAGCTACTGGGTTCCTTGTGTTTGATTGTACTTTTAAAATGAGGCTACCTTCATTGGTGTGAATGTGCGTTTTTAGTTCGAGATGATTATTTGCTAACCAGTCTAAATTATATTTGCATATGTATACATAGTATTATCTTTAATCTCACTAGGTTTGCCCATAATATCTAATTCCAATGTTTTTAACTCATTCTGAGATACCGTGTAATTTTTTTTTGTACCCATTTATATGTCTTTTTCTTAGTTTCTGTATCGATTTGCATCAGATGCCTGATTTCTTCTTCCTGCTTTTCTTCTTCAGCTTTATACCCAGGTTCTTCCCTAGAAATGTGAATTTGGACCCCTGCATCTTCAAATAGAAAATATATCATCTGTTTAAATCTTGCCCATTCTTTTTCTAATCCCCATCCTTGTCTTGGGATGACTAGTTTTTTGATGGATTTATTTTTTGAGCTATTTTTCCTTAGTGCTGCAAGACATTTATACATGTTTCTTGGACTTGGCTTCTCCTTCATTGATTCTCTTGTGAATGGAAAAATGACTAATTTTTTTCCTTGTTTTGACATAGATAGCTCCCCAATGGTCCCTTTCTCTCTGTTTTTTGGAATCATATGCCTATATTTTTTGAAAACTGATTTTTTTGATTTGTAGTTTTTGGGTTACTCCTCTACTACTAAAACGGCGTCGTTCGTTAGGACGTCTATGTTTCCATATTCTTCTTTCAGGAGACCGTTAACCTGGTCATCTTTTATGTGAATGTGCTCTCTTACAAACTTGTTAAACTCTTGTTCATCTCTTGAAGTATCTAGTCTAAGCTCTCTCGTTTGAGTCGGCTGTTTTTTTGTGACCTGACCTGGGGTGTGATTTTCGAAACCATTCGAGTACATTTCGTACACGAAATTTGACTGACAGCAATGATAATTAAATGGAGAGCAGTCAAATTTCGTGTACGAAATGTACTCGAGTGGTTTCAAAAATCGCACCCCTGACATGTTGATTTTTTCGTTAGGTATTCATTTGTTTCGGGGGTATTTCATGCTGACCATTCAGAATCAGTGTTTTCCATGGGAGATCTATGATCGCGTTATTTTTTGTCAAAAACTCCATGCCTAGGATTATTGGTTGAGTTAATGATGAAATCACTTTGGCGTTTAGTCTGCCCTTCCATTTTTGACTCCCTGGTATTTCTATCGGAACTTCAATGTCTCCCAAAACTTTTATCTGGTGTCCCCCTGCAGTGACTAGAACCGTGTCGTCATTTCTTGTTAGTTCCTCTTTGATTAGACTTCTTTGTAGAACGCTATCTTATGCTCCTGTATTCACGAATGCTGACATGACTCATTTAATCTAATTGTGATGTGCAAGATTCCTATGTTATTGTTCTTCCCCAGGGTAAGGATGGCAGGGGCTTTTAATTTTGCCATCCCTTCTCGTTTGCGTTTTGTCGTCGGGTTTTACAGGTGTTTGCATAGTGACCCTGTTTTCCACAAACAAAGCAACCAGGATTGTTTTTGTTGTTTCGTGGCGTATACGATTTGTTCCTTCGAGGCTGGCTTCTGCATACTGTTGCAGTATGTGCTATTTTCCCACAGTTGTAACAAACGGTGGCAATTTTTGAGTTGGAGTTATGATTTCTCATCTTTTGGCTCCTACATACAGCTGCGAAATGTCCTGTTTTCCCACAATTATAACACGTTTGGCTAGATATTGGTACTCTTGTGCTTGTGTGTTCTCCTTGCATTCGGATCCTGCAGGTGGCCATTACATGTCCTCTTTTTCCACAATAATGACATATCTTTAGTTCTGTGTCTGTGATTGAATTTCTTTCCGTACAGCTGGTAATTTGGGTATCTTGCATTGCACCTTTTTTCGGAGCTTTGTCTATCGTGTCTGCTATTTCTTTTAGTTGTATAAGTGATGTTGGTGGCTTGTTCGGCGGGTTTGTTAACCAGTAGTAATTGTAATGATTTGCCTCCGTAACCCTTCGCTGAAAATCCTTACAAATTCTTGTATATCAAATGTATGTGTGTAATTGAGGTATAATACTTGTAAATCGTACAAGTATTCCTTGACTGACTCATCTTGACCCTATTTTCTTTTTTCGACTTTTTTCTTGAGTGCCCTTTGGTAATCTGTCTCCTCAAATTCCTCTGAAAAATCTTTGACAATGTCTTTCCAGCTGTTGTTTTGGTGGTCGCGCTTATATCCCTGAAACCACAGTTTGCGGCTCCGTCTAAATATGTTTCGAAATAAACAATTTTCAGCTTTTCGTCCCATCCATTTGCTATCGCTGATCTGTCAAATGTTCTAACTCGATCGCGCTGGTTTTACACGGCTGGAAGGTTTGAGGGCTGATAAGCTGAGGCAACTTTGCCTGTTTCTCCGCTGTCATAGCGTCAGTTATTGTGGTGTTCGCCATTATATCCCGTTGTTCTACTTTCTCTTTTGATGGTTGCCTGGGTTTTGGTGCTTCTTGAAGGGTAAGGTCTGGTGGACTACCAAAAACACTGTCTTCTTCGTAGCCTGTTTGATTATTTGCTTGGTTTTATATCTCACTTTCAATTTGTTCTAAACTGATACTGGTTGACCCTGGTGGGGATGTTTGAAGTGGCCTTCTTGACTGAGAAAACGAGTATTCAAATCCTGTGCTCCATTGAGACGGTCTGAATGATTCTTTTGGTGTTGCGTTCTTTGGCCTCAAGTTGTATGCTCGCTTATCTGACATCTATATCGCATCTGGCAAGCTGTTCAAATATTTCTGATTTAAAAAGGAAAAAAATCGCCTTCGCCACCGTGTCGTGAATTTCGCTTGAGTGCTTCGCCACGGTGTCGTGAATTTCTCTGTTGTCGACGTATCGCGTCGTGAGGTGTTAAGGCGTTGGCTTGCTTCAAAGGCGCCTTACGGCGTTGATTCTTGGGCGTCGGGTTCAAGACGGCACCTCCACCAAATATGTCACAGCTGCCCGCTTTACGGGGGTGACATGGGGGTTTGTAGCTTTGAGGGTCGATGGAGAGAAACTCGCTCAAGTTATATAAAAGTGTAAATATATATTTTCCCGAATATGACCTTACATGTACCATCGTCACCAAAAGTAACTAGGACAGCATCACATTAGCTCTTGTCCTATTGTATGAATTTTATTGTCAAATATTTGTCAACCCATAAATTAAATGCATTGAAATGAATGACAGTAGAATTAGTCCAGGAGATTATTATACATTATTTGTGTCCCAGATACTTTTGGTGACGATGGTACGCTAGTCCTATAAGACGCATGACCCTTCGAACACTGGGGCCCTTATAGGGAGCCACACGTCAACGCTGCTTGGGGGACTGTCGATTAGTTATCGTCACCCTTATGCCTTGTCTAGAGGAGCTTTCCCAAGGAGAGGTAATTGCGCTCGACAACGATAAGGCTGAAGATACCCAGAGGGGCTGTCCCAACGAAAGGTACTTGCACTGGGGAGACTTAATTCCAGAGGGGCTTTCCCAACGAGAGGTAGTTGCACTGGTTTAAGTCTGCCTGTTGCTTGGCTTGGCCAACTATTTATATCAATTTCTTGCTGAATTGCAATAAACATCCGATCGAATCGGCAATTAAATTAATAAGGTTTCCTAAGCAGCTATTTGACAATATGTTTGAATAGGAGAGTTGGGAGGTATATAAACTGATCTCAGGATAAAGCTAGCCTCGCCAGTACCAACCGAAACAAAGATCTGTTCAATAGTTTCAGGAACTTTTAATCTTTTGCTAGGTATAGATTCATAATTGAAATGGCTATTAGTGCTCCAGCCCCTCTCTCGAAAATACTGGTCTGGTTTTCCGCAGTGGAACAAGTCAAGCTGAAGTTAATTTTTAAGCTGTTCTACAATTTATGGTTCAAGCTTATTTTCTTGAGACAGAGTTTTTTCTTCTTTACTAATCAATTAATCACATTTCAGGCGACACTGTTTAAATATGTTGAAACTGCAGAATTCGGAATGGACATAATAGAAGTCTTTACTGGAGATCAATTTGGTGCTTATTTTGGAGGTTCAGTTTTGTTGATTGACTTGAACAATGACAGGGTGCTGGATGTTCTCGTTGGAGCTCCTTCAACTTCGACCAAAAAGTTGTACGACGAGGGATGCGTTCACATTTTTATCAGCTCAATATTTGTAAGTACAATAATAATTAGTATAGTATGCTAATGAAAAATAGCAGGGATTACCTACTATTAATTTCGAAGTCAAAAACAAATTTACACAGTAACCCAGTGAACTGGTTTTCAATTTTAGGGATACTTACCAAGAAAAACAATTTCCGGTTCAAATAAATTGGGCAGCAGGTTTGGCATATCAGTTGTGTCCTTGGGAGATTTTGATTTGGATGGTTTCAATGGTAACAATGGAATAATAATTCTGTATTTTTTTAAAAAATATTTTGCCATGTTTAGACTTTGCCGTCTCAGCGCCATACGAAGATGAAGGCAAAGGCGCAGTGTATATTTACAATGGGTGCAGTGATGGAATTGGAGATAGCTTTAGCCAGCGATTAACTGCTTCTTTATTTGCAAATTTTATTACTTTCACTGAGCGAACCAGGGGTTTTGGAATGGGTCTGTCCAGAGGAAATGATATCGATAAGAATGGACATAATGGTAAATAAAATGTTGACTTTTTATTGGGAAGGTAAAATGATGGATGTTGGAATAGCTTTGGTTTACTGGTTGGAATAGTCAATTTAATCAAAGCACTTTAAGTTAAAGAAAAATCTTCCACATGTGGATGAATAGGTCTCTATTAAAAGCTGATCCGATGACCATTTCATTGCTGAGGTCAGCTTCCGAATTCTTACTATCATAGCTATTTTTAACAGCATTTTCAACAATTTTGTATCAATTATAACCGTTTATTCATGTCATATTTATTTGTAGATATAGCCATAGGTGCGTACAAATCCGACCAGGTTTTCATAGTTCGGAGCTACGGCATTTTAGACTATGTTTCAACGATAACACCAAGTGTAGACGTCATTTTAGAAAACACGACAGAATTTACTTTGCAAATATGCCTTACTTATACAAAAAGGAGCGATCTTGTGGACGTACCTTGGATGATTTTCTCAATAAACATCAACTTGGATTATAGAGCTGTGCAAAATAAAATTGATGAAATCGTTACGGTGAATTTGATGGAAAATAGGTGTCAAATATATTTAGTACAAATACGGGTAAGAATCCTTATAATTTTATAAGTATTTAAGTAAAAAGGAACTGGATGCGATAGAGACGAAAGTAGGTATCAAAACTAGAAGGTTAAGTTGAACATTTTGATTATATTTATTCTTCTTCGTTTTCTCAACCCATATTACCCATAGACCTACATTGGAAGTCCATTGCCTTTTTCATATTTTCCTAGTATTGGTTGCGTAATTAGATATCAATAGTGGGAAATAGGTACCGGCAACGCGTTAAACAATGATTGGAATTCCCTTTCCACTTTTTACATTTTCTTCCGTGTTAATACTCAATCTGTCTGAAAAATTATTTGGTTTCATGATTTTGGACAAAGCAGTAGGTAGGTAACTAATTGAAACTTTTTTTTCCAGGCAAAAGAGAAATTCTACCCTTTTTCAATGAATAGCCTGGTTATACCTAACGCTACAAATGAAAATGTTAAAATATTGGGAAATAGTAAACTCGAAGTGAATCTTCCTTTTGCAATTGGTTGTACCAATAACAATTTCTGCCTCACGGCCTTAACTCTTCAGATCAAAGCAAAAAGGTATAATAATTACCTATATTAAGTAATAGAAAAAACTATGAGCTTTAAAAATTGAAGCTATAGATTTATGAACTTGATGTTAAGCTTCAAATTGATATACTGAACCTCCTTGCAGACAAAAACTTATTCTGGGAGAAGATTATCAGATCGATTTAGAAGTAACAATTCGTAATGATGGCGATCCAGCATACCAAGGGGAATTGCAGTTACAAGTTTCAGCTTCGATTGAACTACGAAATAATTGTGATAAAAATAAGGACGGAAACTATACCTGTCCTATTGGTTATAAATTAGAAACCAATGCAACGAAAAATGTAAATACCTTGTCTATTAGACAGATTCTATTTAACTTATTTCGCGTCACAAAATTATTTTTAGGAGACCTACATTTTTGATATATTAAAGTTAGACCTCAATTCCAAAGAAATATCAATCAATGTGAGCATTAGGAGCTATGGCATAAATAAAAAAGGCTACAAGGATAAAGATAATTTAATGATTCCTGTAACAGCAAATAGTACTTCCTATATTATTGGGTAACAAATTTAAAATGTTAAAATTACATAATATGTACCTATTCTTTAATTTGTTACTTTTAGAAACACCATTCCCGAAAACATGGCACTGGCAAGGGTACCAGAACCCAACAATACCCACATTTTACATAGATTTACTGTTGGAAAAATTGGGCCTTCACCTCTAAAATTAAATATTTATATTTTAGTTCCGTTGGTAGATTATCTTGGAGAAAATATTTTCAACGTTAAGCTCATCAATGTAAGCAGTATATCGCTTTTTAGAGTACTTAATTGTATATGTATTATCCGTTCACAATATGATGTCCACATAGGTAGGTACAGGTAAAATCACCTTTCAATGCTATTTGATAGGGAAAGGTGATAAATTTACCTGCACCTGTGGACATCGGATTCTGAACAGGATATATAGAGTATTTTCAGGGTAGTATCGATGGAGTTCCAGTCAAATGCACTCCGGGAATAATTCAAATTACCATGAGTCATGAAGACATTTTTAACAAATTGAATGTCGGCAAAATTCCCACTAATAGAAGTATTGCAATTCATTGCGATGGAGTTCATAAATGCTTACAGTATCATTGCGAGGGAATCCTCGAGAACTCCAATCAAAAAGCAGTATTTGAAATCCGATTGTTGCTGATCTCCAATTTATTGGGTAAAATATATAGTTTATTATTATTGGATCCCCAAAACAAACTGCGTTATCCGTTACTTCGTGCTTTCTTGAGCCTTATGACGTCAATTTCGTTACAGAATCCGCATTGTATATTTACTTATATCGAAAGTTTGTTTTGTATCTCGTTGAAGTCTATTACGATAAATCGTAACACAAATTTACTCAATATTATTTTTAATATAATTTTGTTTTATTATTTTAGTAAAGAAATACAGCTATGAGCTAGGACCAAGAAATCTAATAGCATATTTGCCAGTAGCCGTACAACAAAATTCCACTAACTCTGATCATCGGTGAGTACTAATAAAAAATCGCTGTTACATATCACTAGAAATTGTCGAATTAATTTCAATTAACCGTCTACTATTCTTTCAGGGTTCTAGAATTGGCACCATTTGTTATTTTTGTACAAGACCTAAAATTTGTTCCTCTATGGATTTTTGTGTTGGGAACATTTATCGGATTTATTTTACTTATTTTTCTAGTAATTGCACTATACAGGGTAAGTAATAAAAAAAATCCTATTCCATATCATTCCCATTTTCTTTTTACTGTACTTCAGTACTTTTTATTTTTATTTTAGTGTAGTTTCTTTAAAAGGGAATACAAGGACTACCTTGATCAGGAATACAGTAAAACATTAGCAGAGGTGAGAAATTGACATATTTGTAATTTTTTTACAGATTGTTTTTTGAACTATTCCTCTTTGTAACTCATATTATTATTATGCAACGTCTGTCCTGGTTAAAATCTTAACTAATATTTTCCCGATTGTCGTGTAGGTATCAAATATATCCACCCACAACTTCTAAGTTTCAACATCGAAACATTTAATTTCAGATGTGATACGTCCCTATCTGTGAAAAGTGTTCTGTATAGTTTCATTAATTGGATAACAGTTTTATTTTTAATATTTCAGAATAGATATTGTTGTGATGTTGATGAAAACCCATGCTCAATAGGAAAAGGAAACACGAAAGCAGTGGAAAATGACTACGTTGAATTGATGTCACTCTATTAATGAAATGATGAAAATCACACTTATTATAGTTAGGAATGCGACCGTAGAAAATTAAGCTAATAAGATTATAGGAAAAGAAATGTTTAAAATTTGAACAATAACAAAGAGAAAACAAATGGGTAGGTACTCAAAAAATTCCTTTTATTTTAATGTGTATAAAATATCTCACTCCTCGTTCTAATTACTGGTTACAACAATGGATTAAATAGTGTTTACAATTTTATTTTTGTGGCAAATGCGCAATTTTAAACTTTGCCTTTGCCATTAGGTACCTATATTTTTAATTACCTTACTTATGTTATTAGATTTCTAATATCACAAACTACAGCAAATTTTCATTAATTATTGAGCCATGCATGAGCTTTAATTAAATTTTTGAAACATTGTTGTAATTTTAACATTGTAACATTTATGGGGTGCCGTTCCACCTAAATTTATCTTAAGAGTTGAATAGCGACATAGCGCGGGCCGTTGCGCACATTTATTGCTTTAGTCTTGAAGTTCCTGAAAGAAATCAATACTATTTCCTGCCTAAAATCCAAATGAAATAGGTCTGTGAAACGAAAAGCATTAGGTATGGTTGGCAATAATATATGAAGTTTTGAAAAGAAACTCATTTTCGCATTGAAACTATTTTTGTATTTCTAGCGTCATTAATTTGACTTATCAATTAACCACTAATATTTTTCAAAAAAATTCACCTTGTGCAAATAGGTATCTATTGAAATATAGGAGAATTATGAATCAGAAATTGGCCATTATCCAGTATCTGAATTTCCTAGAATTATCTTTAGTGAGCTATTATAACTTATAAGTAGGTACCTACTAAAAAAATAAGTATTATGAACTTGTTGAAAATAGGTTAAAATTTTTTAAGTTACTCAACATTGGTTTCCAAACTCTTGGAATTTTGATCGATGATTTAATCTTCAAATTTAATTTTTTCTCTCATGTATACCTACTACCTCTTTGAACTTTCTTCTTCTTCATTGTGTTCTGTGTTGTTTACCCTATAGATGTTAACCTATTCCTGATTTAGCAATTTTTTCTGTATGCGTTTTCTGCAATTTCTATATCGAGTGGTCTTTTTGTCTCTCCGATGTATGCCTCTCAACATTTTGCATGGTACTTGGTATCAGTTCTTCGTTTTTTTTCTGATTTTTGGCTCTTGTTTTTGCTAGCTCTTTTATCTGTTGTGTTTTTTCTGAAATTCCTGTATTGGCGACTGTTGTTCCTTTTGTTGTTTCTTGTTGGAATATTTCTTTCTTTTTGTAAACTTATAAGTTTTTTTTTCACATGTTCCATCCAAAGTTGTCATTGATAGTCACAAAATTCATTAACGGAAATATCAAACCTGTAGCTTATGCATCAAGAACTTTCAAAGATTCAGAAAGCTATTACGCAACCATTGATAAGGAAGTATTATCAAGTTTGATTTTTGCACTTAGGTACTTATTATTATTTCCACTATCTTTTGTATTGAATGGAAGGTATTTTTCTTTGTTAACTGATCATAAACCTTTGTAGAGGATTTTGAACAAAAATCGTGAAACACCAGAAGTTGCAAATAATAGATTGCTATGATGGGCCGTGATATCGAATAACTATATGATGACGATATCGCTTATCAACCTGGTAAAGTCAATGCTCTATCAAGACTTCCTTTAGGGCCAAATTATGGACCAACTGGTAAGTGTCTGGTTGTTACCCAGCAGGTACTTTCTATTCTCTAGTGCATAGAAAGTACCTGCTAGGTAACAACCAGACGTTTACCAGTCAGTCCATAATTTGGCCCTTATCAAAATCGAAAAGTTTGCCAGAAGGAATTTGGTTTGACAAAAAGAGCTCATCCATTTATTACGTGTTCTCGTTCACAATTTACCTACCAGTTTCTGAAATTAAATTCAAATTAAAAAGTGAAAAGGATAAATTTTTTCTGATAATATCAAATGCGTACAAACTCACTCGCCGGAGAAATCCCAAATTTCTGAAAAAATGATGTCATTTTATGAAAAACGTGACAATAACTGTGTAACATCCACAAATAAATTAGATTGCAGACAGAGCAGTAAAAACTTGCAAAACTCGTATGTCCAGGTAAAGCTCTAAAGTTCATTCCACGAAACGAGATAGTAGAGGTAAACAAACAGGCGGAGCGCAAAAATCCAGTGAAGGACTGCAAAAATAAAAAATATGAATTACAACAAATGCCATTTTTGTGCAACCGTACGCGAAGTGAGCTTTTGCGGCCGTTACACAGGTCGCGAAATTCAATTTCGCGGCCGCCATACCTTACGTGCAATTGTATCAAATTCTTGTCAAATTCATAAATTTTTTCTGTAACTTTGCATAATTTTTATAGTTGCACAAAAAACCGTGTGAAGGTATACCATGACCGCGAAACTTTTTAGCGTCCTCGAGATTATCTTGGTCGGGAATGTATTAGGATATAGGAAACTATAACAGATACGAGCAAAGACGGAGGTTTTAAACAATTATGTTAGATGTTCAATAGCGTTTACAGATTGAGTATAGCTATTCACATTTTTGAGATACTAAGAAAAAAACTGAAAAGTTGATTTTTTGAAAATAGGCTGTCAATCTTTAATTTTTGAAAATTTCTCAAATCTATAAAAACACTTTCACAGCAACTATTTGTGCAGAATACGCGTGTGTGATTAGATTTCATTTAGCACGTGAAGAAAACCACCTATTTAAAATATTATTTCTTTAAATCTTAACTTCTTAAAAAAACGTTTACTGAATAAAAGTAAATATTGCAACCATGTACTGCGCCACGAAGTTTAGGTTTAGGGGAAAACGAGAGTACCGCACAAAAAAAGGTAGAAGGCGACGAAAAGATAGAGAAGACGCTTGGGCCCATTGCTTGGGCTGGTCCCTTAGCCCGGTATTCATAGACAAGTTCTTGGCTCAAGCTTCGATTTTTGACAGTTGTGAGCATCGTTCCGTGCTGTTTGGAAACGCAAATATGGCGTCAAGTCGTACTTGAGCCAAGACGCAACCTTGAGCATCGACTATGAATACGGGCCTTAAGACCGTTGGTCCGCCATTGTTCATCATTCGAAATTTATTTTTATTTTGTATTAAACTGATTGTTCAATCGAATTTCTGATTAGTTTGTGTGTCAAGGAGCATTCACAGGTCAGTTGATTAATTATTATTTTGTTTTTGAGAGTTCAATTTATAGAAGTATTATTTTTTTCATTTTTAAGTTTTTTTGGTTTGTTTATAACATTTTTTTAAACATGTGCATTGTTCATGTATTCAACAAAAATCGTTTCATGCTATAAACAACACAGATAAAGAAGTAAATTAAAACCTAAGAAATTATGTGTTGTCTTTTTATGCTGAGATTTTGATTTTGTGTATTCAGAACGTACATTAGGGCCTTGTTGAGTTTACTAACATTTTCTTACCCTGACAAGATAATATCCTAGCAAATTAAAATAAACAATCTAGAGATATTGGCTCAAAAACAACTATAGCTGAGTAGCTTCTCGTATGGGACCTCAGTACCTGCTGGGAAACTGGCTAACTAACCAAAAACTCTTCAGTATTGAATATAGGTAGTGTTGATTGAATGTAGTGTGTAATTGAAATTTTAGCACAAGAACAGGGGCGGTACCTAGTTCCAACTTTTATTGAATTAATGACTTATTATTAAAATGACACGTTTCGGTTTTCTGAAACCATCATCAACTTCATTATTTCTTATAGCCGCCATATTGGATTTTTATACCATTTTTATCAATGTAACATAATATTCCTAATAAGGCCATATGAAAAATGTTCAATTAGCCTCATATCACAGTATTTTTTTTAAAGAATGAGTCATATTATTACTTAAGTGATGTGTTTTAGAACGCCAGAGACTTTATTCTCGACAGGGGAGCAGCGTTCTCATGAGAACGAAGGTTCTGTCTTCGTCGTCCGTATTCATATTTACATAACACTGACAATGACAGAGCAATCGTTCTCATGAGAACGCTGTTCTTCGGTCCCTGGGTCCTTATTCTTGGAACAGGGAGCAGCGTTCCCAAGAGAACGAGTGTTCCGTCTTTCTCAATGATATGCAACTGGTAATATGAGTAACGAAGACAGAACACTCGTTCTCCTGGAAACGTTGCTTGCTTGTTCCAAGAATAAGACCCCTGGAGTCTAACCAAGAAAGAGAAGTTGCGGTTCATTTGTCCTAGTTGTATGTAGACCTATTATGATCAACATCCCAGGACAAAATTTTTGTTTTTTTTAGAATGCAGCAAACGTTTAAGCTCTATTTTGTGTACTATTTCTCAAAAAATAGTATTTCCATTAATAATTGTATTTATTTTAAACATTTTTTAATGGTGGCCTTATTAGGAGCATAGTGATCCAAATAAGGCCAATGATAAGCGTCTTTGTTTTACGTAAAAACCACCACTTGTATAAAAAATAAATAAATTGGTGATAATATTCAAATGATAGAAGCGAAACACTTGACATATAAGCTCGTAATTTTTATTGGGTTTACTCATGGGACCGTGTATAATAAATTAGTGGATGTAAAATTTTTCAAATTCTTTCTTTTTATTCACTTGTCAGTTGTCAGGTTTCGACACAGAAGTTAAAATTGTAAAAGGACAGCGACGACGAGAATAAAAAGCATTACGCTACGATGAGAATAATTACAGATCTGGTACAGGAAAAAGGTCACAGGTAAATAATGTAAAACTTTGTTAAATATATATTACACGTAGTTAAAATAAAATAATTCTCTCTTCTCTTGAAGACTGCCCCCTGGTCAAGTCAAGATTTAAATATAAATATAAATTTTCCTACATATTTTACTCGATTATTGGATAATATAAATTGTTCTTTCAATGATTGTGTTATTAGGTGTTCCGCTGGTGTTCATTGAATGAGTGTCTTTTCGGTTATTTTAAATTTAAAAAGCTGAAGTCATCCTATCTTTGGGATGTCAAGTTAAAGTCAAACTTTTGGTTGAAAACAGCGCTAGTTTTTGAAAAATTTTCAACTATCAAACGCAGAGTGGGTGGGTTGTGATTCTCGAACTTAAACCAAATTTTCGCGACGAACTAATTCCATGATTTCATGAACACAAACGGTTTCGCGAGAAACTCATGACATAATAGGTCTGTTTCTGCAGAAATCACAATTTTACAGACATGCCACTTTACATTTCAATTCAACAATAGTAAACAAACAATTTATTAACAAAAATAATGACTAAACTGATCTAACCTTACAAATAAACTTTAGCAAAATAAATTTGTGGTAGAGTGACTCCTCAAACGTTTTAACTGTTCTGATTGGTGCACAGATCTGGCATGTAGCTTAGGCTGGCTTCTTTATTCTGGGCTTTTATCAATTATCGTATAGTATATCCTAAATTTGTACTGGCGACCCAATCCGGATTGTTTGTATCCTTAAATTCTGCTGGACTACCTAAAAGGTATTAAAAGTTACCTACTTGTAGAAACATAAACAACTTTTTTGATATACCGAGTATTACCGAGATGAAGTGTTTTTGTATTTTAACAACAAGATAGTCATAAAACTTACCATTAACAAAATGTTTCGAACAAATTCGAGCATTTTCAACAACGTTACAGTCAAATCTCCCCTTTTAAGGCATCTAATTCACATACTCCGTTGTTTTTTTGATAGCTTATTGTTTATGCGATCCCCTCGATCTTTAAATGCTGCTGGAATCCTAAAAAACCTCACTTTATCCCTTTCAGCTCTATTGGAGCACCCAAAAACGCCACAAAACGAAGGCATCTTCACAAAATAATACTTCAAAAATTCTCGGTTTGCATTGAAAATAACATTAAATCAGGTTATTTTTGGCTTGTGTCTGCCCCTCAGCTAAAATGGCGGATCGGTTATGACGTCAACCTGGAATGCCTAATTGAACGTAGTTCGTCAGAAGTATGGACGCAGCTTCTAGCCAGAATATAAACGCATGACGTCACAAGACGAACTATGGTTCGTCCTTGGATAAACTAGAACTACATTCGTCGCGAAAATTCGGTTTAAGCTGATTGATTGTTGATGATGCGCAAGTGAGGTTATGTTATCTTGACCAGTATTATAGTATGAAATTGGGAATAATGGAAGAAACCTCTAAGACGACAAATTAAATTACTTAGAACCATCTGAAAAAAAAAACAGCTCGAGAAACAGTATTGAAACAGACATGCAACTTTGAGAACTTTAAATATCCTGAGAAGGCCACTAGGTTTGTTGAATGACTATGGATATCAGTTGTGTTATATTTGGACGTGGACAAGTCTACAACATATGAAAATGAGTTTGCAAATAGATGAAAGGAAGCAATAAACCAAGAATTTAGTGCATCAGTAGCAAATGGCACTTGGCCGTGTGTCTACGAACACCTTCTGCATATAAAACTGAAGATATGAAAATTCAGAATTCAGTCTAATCAGAACAGACTGATACTAAATTGACCACTACAGCCAGATAGCTAGATAAGATGATACGAGAACAAAGTTCAAACTAGTTCTATGTCTATATTATTGAATTAAAAAGTTTCTTTAATATAAGGTATTATAGTATTATAAAAACCACAATCTTAGTTAAATAAAAATTTAATTTAATAATAGTCTTTACAATTCTTAATTCATAACTTACAAAAAATATAAATCTTTCTTCAACAATAGGTACTTTTTTTTATAAACTCAACAATTCATTTACAATACAACGACTTAAAGGCTAATGGAATTGTCCTGTATAAGGCTGCGTTTTTGGACTAGAAGGAGGAATAAATTCGGGATCATTGGTATGGCTAGCGGCTATTTCGGAAGTATCATTAAGCGGTTGGCTTTCAGTTTCGGTTGCGTTATTGTTTCCCCTGCCTCGGTAATTAGTTATCGCCAGGGCCGGAGAATTATTTGGTCTTTCGTAGCCCATCGAGTACTCTTGACCGCTCGGGCTGTGGTAGAATGAGAGTGACTTGAACGTGTCTCCAACGTTATCCTATAAAAAAAAGCAAAACGATTTTTGATTAATTTAATTGGCATTTTTGGAAAAATGACTATGTAGAAAATAAGGAACTGTTAAAATGAAAAATGAAAAACAAAAAAATTATAGGTATTGGAAAATAGAATTGAATAATGCTCTGTCACGATGTCCATAATAACATCATTTCAACGGTGAATGGATTAAATTACCACAAAATAATTGGTTATTTTTTTTGAAAACATATATATTTTGCTTTCAGCTCTATTATTTACAGGTGCAGATAAGTTTGCAGTCGCTTTACATGTAACTTTGTTTTCATTTCTGGTAGCTATAAGTATTGAATTTAAGGATCAGACAGTGACAAAAGCTGAAACTGTTGCCAAATTAAATACTTACATGAAGATGACTGAAAATCAATTTGAAAGAAAAATAAAGTTTTTAAGGTCAGACAAAGAGAATGCTGATACAAAAAGGTTATTTGAGGAAAACGAATGCTTATATTGAGTTCTTAACAGAAGAATTGAAATTTAAAAAGAAATGCGTGTGGAGTCAGGTCGGTTTGTGATACATGAAATTTAGACAAAAATGTATGGTACTGGCAATTATGCATTATTCGCTTGTGTGTGACTCCTATGTTTTGATTGAATTCCATAAAAGGTCAAAAACCAGAATAAAATCAAAAAGTATATTTTTGAAAATTGACAGAAATCCGACTGAAATTGAGATACAGTCTAAAAATCTATACCATTTCCAAATGCAAGCGGCAATAAATGACTTGTAATGAAAATGACCAGTTATTAGAGGATTTCAAACGTTTGACCGGTCGGTTACAATTGACAGATAAACAATGAAGTAAACTTCATTTGTCAACCAATTGGTCTTGAATGACGTAAAATGCGTTGCTCATCTGTCAAAGTTACCAAATGGTCAATCGCTTGAAAACCCCCTAGTTGTCATTACTGCCGCTTGGATTTGGTTCAACCATAGAAGAAAATTCTGTGTGATTCGGGCTCTGAATTTTCAAATAATGAATCGAGTGAAAATTCTGAGAAAAAGCTATTGAAAATCAAATATAGATTGGATTACGTGATAGGAGCTGCTAAGTGTGTATTTAAAATAAAAAAACTAATATCGTAAAAGAATCAATTTGGAATGTTCAAAAATTAGCAAAACTTTTACCTGTAGTAATTCTACGACCTCAAAACAGGTCGGCCTTTTATTGGGATACCAATTCCAACATTTCTCCATAATTTCCCAGAGAAGGTTCGGACATTCTGGCGGCCGATCTAGAGTTCCTTTGGATACTACGAATTGGGTAACTTCTTCATTGCTCAGACCTTAGAAAAAATAATTATTGGAATAAACACTAATATTTGTTATAGAAAAAGCTCAAATACTATGTTGTGTTAGACAAAATTTAGGTAGTATAAGTAAATAGGTACTATAGGTTTTGCAGCAAAACTATATAGAAAATATTATTAGTATGAGTATGTGTACAAAAATTTGTTGATATTCCGTGTTTTATTTTATCAAACTGACTAAATTCTTATCAGAATCCTAAACCTATGATTACCGCTTAAAGAAAATTTTCTGATGGGTAACTCTAAATCCCTAGTATTTCTTATTCAACTAACACAAGGTTCATGTCCCAGTTTTCAGCCGCTTTTTTCCATTTCAATAAGTAAGATTTTCAAATAGAAAAAATAGTTATTTTCCTAACAAGTGCGCAAAGTGGTACTTTTCCGCAAGCAAACACAGTTATACGAACGACGGGGAGTCTAGTTCTTTAACATCATTTTCTAGGCCATTCGGTTGTTACAAATTTTTGAGACTATCATTTGGTATAAATGTGGCACCTGAGTATTTTCAGAGAATAAATTGTAAAAATTTTGGGGATATTGAAAATGTAATAATATATTTTGATGATCTATTAGTAGCTTGTAACACTATGAATGAACATGATAAGACATTGACGCCCGTATTCACCAAAATCAACTTAGCTATCTGATAGCTGTCAGTCTGTTAACATTTATCAGTCGGATAATAGCAAGTGCTATTCACCAATAAAAATGGTCCTTCTGACAACAAACAGACTGATAAAAATAAAAATTCATAGAATATATGAACAGTTTTTCTCTTCATTTCATTTAACAACCTCTGTATTATATTTATTTATTAATAATAACTTTTCTTGGGCTGTGAAACAAGTAAACAACTTCCTAATCCTAATAATTTGTCTAATAATAGTTAATTATCGTATACGAATACCAAATGGAAAAAGAAACGGAGCAGCTTTCTGGTCGCGAAAAGGAAATTCTAATTTCTTCGGTTGAGAAATATTTAATCGGGAATAAGAAAACCATAACCAATACAGTACAGTTGGTTGTGATTGTTGTGAAACATTGAAATGGTCATCGCAATACAAAGTTGAAAAGACCCGGTTGCAAAAACAATTGACGGCAACGTTGTGTGGTTTGCGGTTGTTTATTGACAAATAAATAGTGAAAATACCCAAAATATAAAGTGCAAAATGTGTTAATCAGTGCCATTACAATCGTTTTTTCTTCTGGTGATAAAATTTAGTGCGAAATTTTATGAAAATCATTACAGAAACTTGATTTGTTTTCATGTTTTACTGACAGAGTGGATGCGCTGTTGCCGCCTCCGATGAGAGCGATTTAATTAATCCACAAAAATGGAATGCGACGTTTGTCGTAAAAAAGATCTAAAAATTTTCCAGTGTGATGGTTGCCCATCCCAAAATTGTGCAAAATGTGCCAAGCTAACATCTTCAGAAATTAAAGTTCTAGAGCTAAAGAGTAGCAGAACAATGAATTTTTTTTGCTTGAAATGCCTTCAGTTCGAGACGAGCATTTTATTGAAAAACACCATTGAAGATAAAAACAATATAATCACCAGTAAAGATGAAATTATTAACCTACTAAAAAAAAAAAATCTGATTTGGAAGGCGAGAGTTTACAGAATGCACCACAAATATCATATAGTAATGCGGTTCAAAAGAATATGTTACAAGATTCAGTGACTATGCAAAATAACATACCAAGTTTGATGATTATTCCAAATAATGTACAAAATTCCAGAATCACTAAGCAAGATCTACATCAACATGTTATACCTGCTGATTTGAAGGTAGGGATTAAAAATACTAAAGATATGGCAAATGGTGGCGTAATAATTAAGTGTCACTCTAAACAAGATATTGAGAAACTTAAGCATGAAGCTGAGGCTAAATTAAATGGATATCAAGTTCAGATATCTAAAATGCGAAAACCCCAATTCAAGATTGTGGGATACAAAGGAGACCTTAACCTTAACCTGGAGGAGATTGAAAAATGTCTACGTGATCAGAACTCCATCATTAATGAATCAGATACGCTTTCAATAACATTCATGAAGCTAAACAAAAGGAACCGAACACACACTATTTATGGAAACTGTAGCGCTGTTTTGTTCCAAAGACTTATGGCACACAAAAAAATATTTTTGCAGTGGGAGCGGTATTCTGTATTCGAAAATATTGAAGTGCAACGTTGTTTCAAGTGCCAGGAATATTTTCACAAAAGCAATAACTGTCCTAATGATCTAAGATGCGGTTTTTGTGGTGATAGGCATGAATTCCACGAATGCGAAAAAATCGGAAAGAAATGTGTGAATTGCGAGAGAGCTAACACCAAATATGGACATGAGTATGCAACCAATCACGAAGCAACTGATATTACCTGTTCAAGTTATCAACACCACATCAAAGTGATACGAAGTAAGATTGATTACTCTGGAATTTATGGATAGTGTCTCAAATGAGATTATTATATTGAATGACCTTGATGTGCTAGAGAAACCTATACAGAACAGGATAGATCTTAACAAGGTATCAAATCTTAAAAATAATTCTTCTAAACTATTGAACATTCTACATTTAAATATAAGAAGTATTCAAAAAAACTTTGACAATCTCTTAGTGACCCTTCAGGCATATGATTCTTGTTTGTATGATGTTATTGTTTTGAGTGAGAGTTGGAAAATTTTAGATGAAAATTCCTTTTGTATTCCTGGTTATGCCATTTATTATAATAAGGGTAATTTTAATCAGAACGATGGTGTTGTTCTCTTTATGAGGAATACGCTTATTGTAAATATTGAGGAAACTAAATTGCCAACGTCACAAGTTTCGCTTTCTAAATTATGTCTTTCATTATTATATGTGTATATAGACCACCATCCAGTAAACTTCAAAACTTTTTAATTGACTTGGAAGAATACTTACAAAGAAATACATTTACTCAAATTGAACTATTAGTAGGTGATATCAATATAGACATTTTGAATAGAAATGACAACAATAATTCTAACTTGTATATATCGCTTCTGAACTCATATGGATTTGAATCCATGATAAATGGCTATACTCGCGTGACCCCAACTTCTATGACATGTATAGACCATATCTTTGTCAGAAACAGAATTAAAAAATCAGTGTAATGAAAATGCATTTATATTGGATCTGGCTATTACTGATCATTTTCCTGTTTTGATCAACTTCAACACTGAAAATAATAACAACAAAAATAAAAGCCACCCTAAAAATAGTATAAATGCAAAGACCTTCGAGAGAGTTAATATAAATACCTTTGGAAATTTGATAAAAAATACTGATTGGCGGGATGTGGTTGAGACCATGGACGTGGAAATGGCTACAAATAAATTCGCAAAAATAATGAAGGATATTTTTAGAAATTCTCTTGAACGGAGGGTGTATAATCTTGGAAGGATAAACAAAAATAAGCCGTGGGTTACAAATGGCCTTATAAAGTCTATAAAAACTAGAGATACTTTGAAAAGAAATCTTTTGAAAAATTATAATGCAAATGATAATTCAATATACAAAAAGTATAGAAATAGTTTAAATGCTTTAATAAAAAAAACAAAACATGACTATTACAGAAATAAAATACAAAATAATATTAATGATTCTAGAAAAAATTTATAAAATTATCTCGGAGGCAACTGATCAAGTTGCATCCAAAGTCAATCACGATATACATATTAAGAAAAATAATACTGAGCCTTTCTTAAGTAACGAGGAAATGGCAAATTTTTGTAATCAATACTTTAATGGTGTTGGCACTGAAATGTTTAACAAGATTAATAACCCACCGAATCCATTCAAACTTCAATACAATTGTGCAACATCAATGTTTCTAACACCTGTAGATGACAATGAAATAATAAAACATATAAGCTCTTTGAAAAATAACTGTGCTACAGGTCCTGATCGCATCGATTCGAAAGTAATTAAAAAAATATCATTCACATCTTCTTAAGCCCTTAGCACACATTATAAACCTCTCTTTTGCGACTGGTATTGTTCCTTCCTATTTCAAATAATTCAAATTGGCAATAATCACACCAATTCTTAAATCGGGTAATCCCAAGGATATAACGAACTATCGACCTATCAGCGTGATTAATAATTTTTCAAAAATATTTGAGAAATGTCTCAAATCAAGGCTTAATGGATTTCTTACATCTAATAAAATATATAAGTACAACCGATGCAATCTATGAACTAACAAAGAATATAAGCAACTGTCTTGATAATGATGAATGCTGTATGATTGTGTTTCTAGACCTGGTAAAGGCATTTGACACCGTACCCCACGTAGCTCTATTGGATGTTTTAAATACCTATGGAGTGCGGGGAGTCGTGTTGGACTTATTCGCGAGTTATCTTGATGAAAGGAAACAGATGGTAAAAATTAATAATGTTTTCAGTGACACTTTGAATGTGCAGATTGGCATACCACAGGGTACGGTACTTGGACCGTTACTATTCATAGTTTATATAAACTCCCTAAGTTCAATTAATTTAAATAGGGGTAGTGTAATTTCTTATGCCGATGATACGGCAATTCTCTTCAAAGGGTCCACCTGGCAAAGCGTGAAAGAAATAGCAGAAGATGGGCTCCTTAATATTGCAAACTGGTTGGAAACCTTTAAGCTGACTCTGAACATTACAAAAACCAATTACATGGCGTTTTCCCTCACTTCTGTCAATCGCCCGCCGTTTACCACCCTTCAGTTGGGTAACAAAGTCATTGGGGAGGTGGAGTGTGTTAAATACTTGGGTGTCTTGATTGATAACCACCTTAAATGGGATAAACATGTTGAACGTCTAAGCAATAATATCCGTAGACTTATATATAAGTTTTATATTTTGAGAAATATTTTGCCCAAAAAAATATTGATAACTGTCTATAAAGCGACAGTTTAGTCATTGCTTAGATATGGATTGCTTGTTTGGGGTGGCTTGTATGATAATTCACTTAGACAATTGAACATTGTTCAAAACTATATCCTTAAAGTTATGAAAAACAAATCTAAACTGTATTCCACATCTCTTTTATACTCCGAGGAAATACCCAATGTTCGATCCCTTTACATACTTGCGGTGTGCCTGTTTGTCTATGAAAACCCTGACATTGTTTCCATTGTAAATCACCCACATAATACGAGAAACAGGACAAATAGACATCTTGTTATTCCTGGCTGCAGTACCAGTTTTATAAAGAGATCCGTGAGCTACTTGGCTCCTAAATTCTCTAATATGGTTCCAAAGAGTATTAAATTATTGAGCAATAAATTTAAGTTTAAAAAAGACTGTTTAAAATTTATAATCGCAAATCTAAAAAAAATCCTGATATTTCTCTAGATTTAAGTACATTGTAAAATTGTAAACCTACTGCATTAAAGTAAGTTAGTAGTTAAAAATTGTAGCAATTTACCGTTGCCACATAGTTTTGTCACAGTTTTATTTTGAATATTACCTCAGCTATGACATCTATAAGCTATGTCCCCTGCATATACAGATGTTAAGTCATCCAGATGCAGTTCAAACTTTCTAAGTATAAAATATGTAAAAAAATATTGAACATAAATTTACTGTAAGTGATCTGTAAAATTTCGTAATATATTATTATTATTATTAATTAAAATCTGATTTTTTTTAGATTGGTTTATTTCTTTCGTCCGCAATGGCTCCAAGACTAGGTTCAGTGTTCAGAGGTTTATTTTCAGCCTTTGAAAGCTATTTTTGTTTATTCTGAATCTTTTATGAAAATCCAAATCATCCAATTCAGTGAATAAATCATTCTTGCCCTCACATTTCTGGGCCTAGGAAGATCTTCACCTGATATATGGATCATCCAATGAACCTCCAAAAAAATTCAGGTCAATTTCATCCATTCTGTTCATTTTGCCAAAAAATAAAAACTTATAAAGTAGGTACCTACCACAAATTAAAATTTAACGAACCATCCATTCTTTCCAATTTATAGATACATTCGATTTTTTTTTGAAAAAAAAAAAACAATAACAATAACACTTATCAGACAGATAACTTCCTTAACAGGCCAAATTTCGCCTGACAACTTTATCAGACTGATATCTACTACTCAAGGTTGGTGAATACCGAATTTTACGTTAACAGTCTGACAAGCAGTTTATTAGACTGATAAGTAGTTAGCGGTCGTTGGTGAATACGACCGTGGAATGGTGTTACAGAGAGCAAGAGAGAAGGGTGTGAAATTTAACAAAAATAAGCTGCAATTGAGAAAGTGTGAAGTAAAATACATGGCATATTTTTAATAGGGAGGGTATGAAAGTAGATAATGATAAAATTAAGACTATCAATGATCTTAAAGCACCATCCAATGAGAAAGAATTGCAGAGACTGCTTTGTTTGGTAAATTATGTTAGAAAGTTTATTCCGAATTTAGGGGAAAAGAAATTGTGTTTCAGTGGTTAGACGTACCTATATACATAATAAAGCTCTTGAAGATATCAAACTTGTATTGAATAAAAATATTACATTGAAAAACTTTGACTACAAAAAAGATATTGTTATATAAACAGATGCATCACAACATGGACTTGGATGTTGCCTAATTCAAGATGGTAAACCAGTAGCATTTGCATCGAGAGGCTTGACAGAAACTGAAGAAAGCTATGCCATTATTGAAAAAGAACTGCTGGGAATTGTGAATGCTTGTCAATAATTTAATAATTTTATTTATGGCCGCCCTGTTAAAATTATCACTGATCACAAACCGAATGTAAGTGTTATGAGCAACCAGATATCCTCAATAAATTCGCCTCGATTACAGAGGTTGAAGTTGAAATTGTTAAGATATGATTTACAAGTTTGTTATCAGCCTGGGCGATATTATGTATTACAAATTATATATCCAGAAACGTAAGTGCCTAGTGAAATGGCGGAAGATGATGAGGATATGAAGGAAATGGTAAATTCAATTGGAAATATTTGCGAATGAGTGAAAGAAGAAAAAAACAGTTTAGAAAAGAAACCATAAAGGATAAAGTATTGAGTGAAGTTATTGAATGCTGTTTGAATGGTTGGAAAAATGAAAAATATGAAGGAGAACTGGGAATTTTTTACAACTTAATAGCTGATTTGTATCAAAATAACAATCTCATTTTTTATAATGAATGACAGGGTGGTGGTTCATCAATTATTGCGTAAAAATATGCTAAAAGTATTACACGAAGGTCATTTTGGCATAACTCGTACAAGACATTGGGCACAAAGTGTATTATTCTGGCCTGGAATGAGCATAGATATTGATAAGGGAATTCGGCAGTGTCAGTTGTTTCAATTCGTATGAATGTAAATGTTTTGCAAATGAGTTTGACTTTGACTTTCAGACAAGTAGCCGTAGATATCCGCGATCGAATGGACTTGCTGAAAGATTTGTGCGAACAGCTAAAAACATGCATGCACAGATGATTTGTGGATTGCTTCGATGGAGTATCGTAACACGCCTATTACAAATCTTAAAAGGTCTCCTTCTGAACTCTTCGTAGAAGAAATTAAAAACTAAGTTACCTTTGGTTGAAGCACCTAGTTTTAAGATTTAAGAATTCAGGAATGAATTAGAAAATAGAAATAAATTATATAAAAAGTATTATTAATAAACATTCTAAGGAAAGACCATAGGGATGTTAATCAGCGATGTCTTGCAACTGTACTATCCAAGCATGAAGCCCCAAAGTCTCACTTGATTAATAATAGTTCTAATGTTTTAAGGCGAAATAGTAATCATTTACGCAGCTCAGAAATTCAGCATGATTTATCAAGTAGACAAAGTAATCGCGGTGATTCTGGTCTAGAGCAGAATACACTATCTAAAGATGAATCTTTCAATTTTGGAACTGATATCTAATGATGGTATTGTTGCAGAGCCCTGTATCATTGAGAATACTAGGGCAAAGAACTTTAACAGTGGCTCACCAGGCGAGAATCAGATATATACAAGGTGCAATTGTAGTATTAAGAAATCTTCTAGGTTTACTGATTATGTTAGTGTTTAGTCTTAATGTATTTTCATAAATCCGTAGAGGGTAAGATGTAGTAATAGTCATTAACGTTAGTTGTCAGTTGACAGTTATCATAAAAATATTAAAACTATTCAGTAACAAGTTTGCTTTATTTAGAAAAAATATATAATAATACAGGTATCTACCGTTTTAAACTTACCTTGGTATGGTTGTGCAGCTAATGTCACTATTTCCCATAAAACTATTCCGTAGCCCCAGATGTCAGAGTCGTAGGTGTTGACTCCATCGGCAATCGATTCTGGCGCCATCCAACGAACTGGCAGTAATGCGCTACCGCTACCTTTCTTGTAGTAGTCGCTTTGGTAAATATCTCTGGTCATTCCTGAAAATTAGATAAAACAAACTTGAGTAACGTATTCTACAATTTGTTACATTGCCTTTCTTTATCAATATATATTATAAAAAAAAGTGTACAATTTGCGTGCAGCTAAAACTCAGCAATGAGTCCCGGTACGATCAAGGGAGTTACCTATATGATGTGGCAACCCTCTATCTCCCGTCCATGAAGAAGGTTCCTGTTTTTACCTGAAGGGCGTGCTTTTGAAGATAGAAGGGCTGGAAGTTTCGTCCTCTAGCAGCTTCCAGAGCACTCCAGAACTTTCAAGAAGAGTCGAAAACATTTCACGACATTTTGGAATCTTGTGGAATATTTGGGAACATTCCAGATAATTGTGGAACATTCCAGAATACTTTCGAATGTTGGGGAATATTCTGATACATTTTGGATCATTCGGAGTCTTTTATTGCTTTCAAATTGATTGCACATTAAAGTAGATGCAATAAATTATGGCTATTTAGAAAGGCTGTTTGATTCACAGAGTAGATATTGAGGTAGAATAAAAAAGAAGACGCTGTCATCATTTGAATAGTGCAATAGATAAGGGTATCGGTAGGCGTGACTGAAGGTACCAACAATATATATGACTACTTGAACAGAGCCGAACTAAATTGATTCTTTATAATCTTTATCTAAAAACGTAAAAAATCTACATTATGCCAAGAAAAAAGAAGTTGCTACAGAAACTTCAACATACTGAAACAGGAGATTCTTCAAGACCCAAAATAGAAATTCTGCGCTTCAAACATTTTTCGCATTTGAAACATCTTCGGATGGAAAATGCGGCCCTGCTTAGTAGGTAAGAATATAGTTTTTTTTTCTAGAAAATTATACATAATTTCATAAGCTGTTCTGAGTTGTTGGGATAAATTTCAATTTCATGTACCTTATACCAACAAATTTCCATTCCATTTGCTCTTTACTCCAAAAACCGTACGTATCGAACGTATCCTAACTAGGACATACCATGCCTGTGAAAGTAATTGTAAAAATTGAAATAATAAAGGGCACAAAATAATATGATCTAACCTATAACGATACATGGCTCCGCCCACCACACCGATCCTCAATAATTCCTACGATTAGACTCTTTTACAAATACTTTTCAGTAACCCTGTCATAGAAAGTCATATGGAGAAAACTCTTCAATGACCAGAATTCAATGTCTCGCTAAATCATAGACTGAAGATTTCAATGACAAATTAGGTTAAATTTAATATACACTTATCTTTATATATTGTTATGAAGCATGTGGGGATGCAACGTTGCCAAATTTATGTTTTGTTGAAGAAATTATGCTCAATCTGACAATGCCGCATGGGTGGTCCCGCAGAGCATGACTCTAAGTACGAATTCTCAACCGCCAACTAGGGCTTAGAATAAGGGAGATAGCTCTTAAAACCCATGTAAGACCGACATCCGATCCTATTTAACACCGATTATGACATTTAATTATTGATTAGTGATTTTTCAGGCATTACAAGAATGTTCTCCAATGAAATTATCTCAAACATATCCGAAACAATCGATAGAGGTATATGTATAAGCAAAGCCACCCCGCCGCGTTGTGTCACAGATCGTTGTGTATAGAATAGCGTGATAAACAGATCTAAGAAGCAATAAGAGAAGTGTGTGTCATATCGTGTCGAAAATAAAGTGTGAAAAGCGTGTCAAGTGTACCTAGTGTATTTATTTCTTTATAAAAAGATTTGATTTATATTTAAGACAACACCTAAACGTAAAAGAGGAGAATATCTTGCCAGTTATGAAACAAAACAGCGAAAACAAAAAGAACAGCGCAAAAATATGAGACAGTTGAAGAGTACGAAGCACGTTTATGTTCTCAACGAACGATAATGAGTATCGTGAGCATGGCCGGATTAAGCTTTCATGGGGCCCGGAGCTAATGAAGTTTTAGGGGGCCCTTCATAAATTTAGTGCTAAAAAATATACAGGGTGTCCCATGACGTTTTTCCCAGGTAATAACTTCGGAACGCATCATCCAATATAATTGAAATTTTGAAGATGTGGGTAACTTTTTATGCCGCTTCTACCATCGTTATCCAATTTCACCACTTTCCCTTCAATTTCGGTCAAGTGACGTCAACTTTCGATTCTTAAGTGTAACTCATGGTATATTATGGCATTTTTCGTTAGAAAATTGAATTACAAAATCGTCAATGCTATGTTTGTTAAGACTTTATTAAAGAAAATGATAAAAAATTATACAGTCGAACAAACAATGATGCATCGCCGCGTCGGACACCCTGTACCTACATAAAAAAAACTATATTCCTGATATAACAGTCTGACACTGCTATACCTATTATTTATTCACAATCCGATGTCCAAAGGTAAAGGTAAAATGTATCACCTTTCAGTGCTATTTGATAGGGAAAGGTGATAAATTTCCCTTTACCTTTGGACTACGAATTGTGAATATGATAGAAAATTATGTCAAAATATCTTTTTTCTACTATCGTGCGTGAAGTACTCACTTTACGCACTTTTCAGAAGACGTAAAATTTCAGTTCACGCACTAGTGCGTAAAATAATTCACTTCACACACTAGTGCGTAAAGTAATGTCAATGACAGATGTCCACACTGTCAATTTGGCATTTTTCTGACAAATTACTTCGCGCACTAGTGCGTAAAGTGAAAACTCTTTACACACTAGTGCGTAAAGTATTTGTCTAAATTTATTTTTTCACACATTTTTTATTGGTAGTAGAAAAAATTTTGTATGCAATTCGTGCGTAAAGCTCTACACACTTGTTGCATAAATAACTATTGCTACTACCGTGCGTGAAGTACTCTCTTTACGCATTATTCAGAAGACGTAAAATGTCTCTTCACGCACTAGTGCGTAAAGTAATGTCAATGACAGATGTCGACCTGTCAAATTACTATTTTTTTGGTAAATTACTTCACGCACGCGTTAAGAATTTATCTAAATTTATTTTTTTGCACATATTTGATTGGTAGTAGAAATTTTTTTGTATGCAATACGTGCGTAAAGCACCTTTTTTCACTCATGTGATTGTCAAAATTCACATTCGTGAAAAAAGGTTCACTTTACATACTTGTTGCATAAATAACTATTTTTCGTAGGTAACTTAAGTTTACCTAACAAATTCTTAATTCTTGTATGACATCAGAAAATTCTAATTCCTTCAGAATGTCTCTTTCTATGCACATCAATGTTAATGAAGACAGACGTTCCTTCTGTATTATGCTGCTTAGGAACAGACCACTTTCTGACCTAACTTGAAGAAAAAATCTGAACAGTCCGAAAAAAATGTATCTTTATCCTTATGTTTTACATATTATTAGAAAAAGATGGGAATATACTCAGTGCACACTGATCGATAAATGGAAATCGAAAACTTCAACATAAGTTAGAAAATGGTTCGTAAGCAGCTGTTGTTCTATATTTATTTTAAATTTAATAAATTTTGCGAAACATGACGCGTATTTAATATTTATTGTTTGCCCACGGGCCCTTGACCAGCAGAAGCCTCATTTTCGAAACTTGGGCCCCTCTGGGGCCCTACTGGACTGCGGGGCCCGGGGCTGCAGCCCCATTAGCCCCCCCCCTTAAACCTGGCATGATCGTGAGAAGAACAACGAAATGAACGAAGTGAAGAATAAAGAATTGTGAGAAAATCTTATAATAAAAAAAGCAAACGCGACCCATGAAAATATCTCTCTACGAGAAGCGCGAACAAGGACAAGTAAACGTAAAACCTAACAAATGAAGCATTCCACTACGACCCGACGAAAGAATATAACAAACACAAACACGTCGTAATCAGAAAAATAGATACCATCTGCCAATTTTGCAATGCGAAAAAATTCAGTAGAGAAACGCCAGGAATCTGTTGCATGAATGGAAAAGTTCGATTACCACCACTGAAAGCACCTCCGCATAAATTTCTACATTACATGACCGGGAAAACTCCAGCATCAAAACACTTTCTTCAAAATATAAAAGCGTACAATGCCTGCTTCCAAATGATTTCTTTCGGTGTCACTTCGATCCACACTAACAAAGTCGATTAGGTTTTTATCCATCCAAGGGCAAATCTATTACAAAATGGGATCATTATTACCACTGCCCAACGAAAACTATACAGTTCTGCAAGTATATTCCATCGGAAATGAAGAAGGAGAAATTGATCAACCATACACAAACATCAGTAGATTGAGACGAGAAATAATCCAAGATGTACAGATGAGGGTTTTACACAAATAAAATCAACTTATTCTCTCATTCAAAACAACACTAAACCGGATGTTTTCTGATGATAAAGTTATAATTCGAGTCGACAGAAGAACACGAACGTCGATTTAATGCACCTCAGATACACGAAGTCGACATCGTAATTCGGGACAATGAAAACACAAGCCGTGACATACCTAATTGTACAACGAAGAAGAGACGGACTAAAACTCATTGCAGAGACATGCCGTTTATAGAATGTCTTGCAATATCCATTAATATTTTTATACGAAGGGGAGTAAGAGGACGGATATCAAAAAAATCCAACCTGAAACAGGCGTAGAAACAAACAATAAATTCACTTTCTAGGAGTTCTATGCCTACCGCCTAATGATCAGAGACAATCAAACATATAATCACATTCTCAACCTGCCGTTTATTCAACAATTCCTGGTAGATATGTATGCAAAAATAGAAGCGGAACGGTTGCTCTACATAAAACTGAATCAGAAGAAACTACGCCCGGAAGAATAAATTCATCTTCGAGATGCGATCATAAATGACGAAAACATTGACGACATTGGAACAATGGCAATCTTACACTTATCTTACAAAGGAAGTCTGAAACATATGCACGAATACCCTCAAGATGCCTTAACCTACGTAAGAAAATATTGATGACCTGACCTCTTCATAACATTCACATGCAACTCATCTTGTCCAAAAATCAAAGAACAATTGCGAGATATGGACAAGTCACCA